CACGAAACGTGTGCGGGGTGCGCCGAATTGGGTGCGGGTGGTGACGCATGCGGGCGGTGCCACTGGGGCCTTCGGTGGAGCTCCCTATGGGGCCACGAAACCTGTCGTTGTGAGGGGCGTGCCGGGATGGGTGGCGGGGACGCATGTGAGCGCAGCCGCTGGGGCCTTCGGTGGAGCTCCCTATGGGGCCACGAAGCGTGTGAGGGGTGTGCCGAACTGGGTGGGTGTGGGTGACGCATGTGAGCGCCGCCACTGGGGCCCCTGGTGGATGATTGGGCCACGAAACCTGTGAGGGATGTGCCGAAATGGGTGTGCGGGACGCATGCGGGCACACCCACTGGGGCCTTCGGTGGAGCTCCCTATGGGGCCACAAAGCGGGTCAGGGGTGCGCCGAAATGGGTGTGCGGGACGCATGCGGGCGGCAGCACTGGGGCCTTTGGTGGAGCTCCCTATGGGGCCACGAAACGGGTAAGGGGTGTGCCGAATTGGGTGTGCGTGACGCATGCGGGCGGCAGCACTGGGGCCTTTGCCGGAGCTCCCTATGGGGCCACAAAGCGTGTGAAGGGTGTGCCGAACTGGGTGTGCCGGACAAATGCGGGCGGCAGCGCTGGGGCCTTCGGTGGAGCTCCCTATGGGGCCACGAGGCGTGTGAGGGGTGTGCCGAAATGGGGGTGCGGGACGCATGCGGGCGGCAGCGCTGGGGCCTTCGGTGGAGCTCCCTATGGGGCCACGAAGCGTCTGAGGGGTGTGCCTAAATGGGTGTGCGGGACGCATGCGGGCGGCAGCAGTGGGCCCTTCGGTGGAGCTCCCTATGGGGCCACGAAGCGTGTGAGGGGTGTGCCGAATTGGGTGTGCGTGACGCGTGCGGGCGGCAGCACTGGGGCCTTCGGTGGAGCTCCCTATGGGGCCACGAAGCGTGTGGGGTGTGTGCCGAATTGGGTGTGCGTGACGCATGCGGGCGGCAGCAGTGGGGCCTTCGGCGGAGCTCCCTATGGGGCCACGAAGCGCGTGAAGGGTGTGCGGCTCTCATCGAGTCTAAGATTATACATAACGCGGAGACGTGGGGACAATTGAGTGAGAAAAGCAAGCAGCAGCTGGAGTCGGCTTACTACGGGTCCCTGAGACGTGCTGTTCAGTGTCAGAGGCGACAGGATACCGTGTCGGACGCCGAGGTTTTGCTCACGTGCCAGCGGGCGCCTCTTGGGTGACTGATGGCGTACAGGAGACTCAAGTACCTCGTGCGTCTGCTTCGGTACGCCCCGCGTCAGCTTCTTTTGTTGCTCGACGGGCAGTGGGACGTCCGCGGCTCGCTGGGAGCGTGACCAGCTGAGGCTCACGGAGTGGCGCAGGGCGCTCGCGGCGGTGGCTGAAGGCGGAAGCTTGCCCCCCCCCCCCCCCTTTTGCGAAGGTCAAGTCCCCTGGAGGCTACGTGTGCTATGAATGCGGCTACGCCGCCCAAAGCAAGACCGGATGGAACATCCATGTCGCTAAGGCCCACCCTGAGCTCGGGCAGGTTAATCGTTTTCTGTTCGGATCGTGTTGCCCCGCCAGTGGGTGGGAATTTCGCACTAGGATGAGACTGGACAAGCATTTGCGAAACAGAAGTGCGAGGTGTCTCACGGCGATTCAGGCTTTTTTCAAACCCATGGGGGAGGAGCAGGTTCTGGAGCTTCAGAGGCCTGACGCGCAGGAGAGCAAGGATCTTCGGCAGCGAGGCCTCTACCAGGAGAAGGCCCTGATCCCCGCCGTGAGGTCGGCGACCCCACTGATCCCGCCCCAGGACCCTGAGATGCGCGACCCCGTCGAGCCCCCCAGCGTCGTGGAGGTTCAGCAGGATGCCCAGGCTTTTTTAGGACGGCCAGAGCGTAGTAGGTTCCAGTACTACTTTATCCTGCATTTGTTCTCGGGTAGACGTCGTATGGGGGACCTGCAGGATTGGATCGAGCATTTCCAGACCCAGGCCCCCCAGGACAGGCCCGTCTGGACCCTGAGCCTGGATGTGGCCAACGCGCCAGTGTTGAGGGACCTCAGCGTCGAGGGTACCATCGAGCACTGGCTGAAACTTGTGCGGGAGTTCTTGGTTGTCGGCTTGCTCGGGGGTCCCCCGTGTGAGACTTGGAGCGCGGCCAGGTTCAACAGTCTGGCCAACGGAAGGGGTCCCAGGCCGGTGAGATCCAAGGAGCTCCCTTGGGGCATTGGGTGCCTCACGAGTAAGGAAAGGAGACAAGTGGACCTCGGCAATGTTTTGCTGAGAACCATGTGTAGATTCTTGGTGGCGTGCGCGGGGCACGACACCCCCGCTATCATGGAACACCCGGCCGAGGCCCACTGGCGACCGCAGGCTCCCTCGTCGTGGTTGCTGGACGAGGTTCGATATATCCTGTCGTTGCCTGGAGCCGAGAAGGTGACGGTTGCTCAGTGCCTTTACGGATGTGAGTATGAGAAACCTACTACGTTTCTGACCATCCACCTTCCCTCTCTGGGGATAAAGGTCCGAAAAGAGCCTGGGGGGGGGAGGTGCAACCATCCTGGTCGGCATCGTCAGGCCCTGGGCAGTGGGGAGATGGGGGAGTTCCGAACAGCTGCGTTGAAGGAATACCCCGCTGAGCTGTGCAATTTGCTCGCTCGATGTATGTGGGAAGGGGTTGAGGCCAGGACGAGGGTCGGCCCTAGGACTTGGGAGGTCCCTCAAGAGGCTCTCGGGTTTTATATCCCCCTTGACCCATTCTGTGAGTTCGAGCGCAAGCATGACTGTGCCCGAAAGTGGGGCAGACATGACAGCTGAAGCGAATCTGGCGGCGACCGCCAAACGGCGGCGGCGGGTGTGAGGAGGCCCCGCTTCGCGCCTTGGCGCGAGCCGCCGCCCGCCCGCACATTATCATCTTGCAAGTTGTATTCGATACGCTTCGAACATTCCTCATGCTGGAAACCGTAGAAACCGTAGGAGGAGGAGGAGGAGGAGGAGGAGGAGGAGGAGGAGGAGGAGGAGGAGGGGGGGGCTTACCTGTCCCTGAGATGCGACGTCGCGAAAAACGACAAGGTCATAAACCACGACCAAAGCATTCGACCCCACATCTCTGCGACATTTGTCGAGCTTGATCGACCCAGGAGGTTCACTAGAACCCGATCCGGTGAAATCGCATGATGACAAAAATGCGACGCCGGATCTCAAGTGAGCTTTTCAATCCGCGGCCCCAGAGGCCCCGACCCATTGCCCTGGATCATTTTTTCGCCATGGGGCTAGGTTCTATGGCCCCCGGACCCGATACCAAGTTCTGGAGATCGATGTCACAAAAACACAAAAACAAAACAACAAATTATCCCAGTGCGACCCTACCTAGGAGTTGGAGCCCCTAGGAAAGCAGCATTAGTAGTAACAGTAAAGCTAAGCTAAAGCTAAGCTAAAGCTAAAGCTCCCAGGGGACTGGGGGAACCGCGGGGCGGGGACTGGGGGAACCGCCCAGGGCGCTTTCCACTGCCCTGCCCCTTTAAGCTAGAGAGTAAGAACCCTTCTAGGCAGAGCCTAGGTAGGGAAACAGAAACGCAAGGGTTTGAGCAACTCGCTTCGCCGGGCAGTTGGGGGACGACACGGACAGAAGCCTCCGGAGGCCCGCGCGGGCCTCTTGGGGCGGAGCCGGGGGCGCCGCCCGGGGGGGGCGGGCGCAGCGCCGGCCCAAGAGATCCGCGCGGAACCCCGAAGGGTTGCTGATGTCCAGCACCTACCAGACCATCCCGGCCCAGCTCGAGGACCCAAACCTCGGGTCGGGGGGGGGAGGGGGCTGGTCATGTCGTCAGGACTGGCGCCGGCGCCGTCTGCGTTCAGGCGGCGCTGGCGCGAATTGTGACGTGACAAGGGGGAGGGGAAGAGGGGGACGGGCTGGTCACGGGCGTCTTCGTCTCCACCCCAGCGGCCTGCGCGTGCTCCATCGCCCGCCCAGGAGCAAGGATGAGGGAGGAGGAGCAGGAGGAGGAGGAGCGGGAGTCGCGTACGGGGTCCATAGGTGTTTTTTCAACGTTCCCCGACGCCCTCCCCACCGGGCATGGAGGGCTAGCTAGGGCCTTCGGGTTGGACTGGGGTCGTTTGGTGAGCGGCGATGTGCGAGTTGCTGGGTCTCTTGGAGGATGGAGGGTCGGCTGGGCAGGCGGGCGGACATCCAGGATCGAGGATCGAGGGTGCCTGACCTCCTCAGGATCGAGGATCGAGGATCGAGGATCCAGGATCGAGGATCGAGGGTGCCTGACCTCCTCGCGTCAAGAAGAAGCACGACAACAATCTTTGACCATTTGTTCGGCCTGAGGGAGCGCATGCCGGGCCCCAGAGGTCCCTATATTTCCCCATATGTTCTGGGTTGTTGCCTTCCCCCCAATTCCAATAGTTTCCCATACTTTCCTGGGAATCGACGATGAATTGTGTCTGTGTGTGTGTGTGTTTTCCCCTCCTGATACTCAGGATGAACAGCCAGTCCCCAGGAAGGAGTCCAGACCTCTGGGGGGCCACATCTCTGAAACAAAAACGTCACGTCGGATCACGGGGCCGCGGTTTCCCCCTTTGCAAGAGTCCAGGACCCCAGCAGCCTGCCGCAAACCCTGCGACCCCCAGCCACACAACCTCCTGCAACCTCAGCATCAAGGACATCGCAACGAAGCTTTTTCTCCGCTGGTCAAGCAGCCACGGCAAACCAACCCGGGGATCGAGAGAGAAGTAGCCAAGGACAGGCAAGCGGGTCTGGGGTGGTGGGGAAGACTGGCGAGAGCACATGGCAACAGTGTGCGGGAGGATAGCGAAGACAAGACTGACAGGGCGACGTGGAGAAGCCAGGCGCTGGGACTGGGCCTCGAATCGCCAGCGCGTCGACGGATGCGACACGCAAAGCGCCGAGGCTACCGGCCTGTGATGAGTGCGGGCTCTGTGTCATACCCACCGTCACCACGCCCGACGACGCGCGCCAACGCAGCGATTTCGGGTGGCCTACCCCACGAACGCTAGGACGCGGCCCAGCTCAGTAGTTCTTGTTGATCACCAAGCCCTTGTCGGTAGGGTCCAGGAGCAGAGAGGGCGTCTGCACCTGGAACAGGCAGCAGAAGCCGACGCCCAGCAGAGAGAGCCAGAAGGTGCCGACCAAGATGCCAGTCATCAGAGTCGGTGTTATAGGCAGCGGCAGCGCGTCCTTCTCCATCTTCGTCATCAGCGGGCGCTGTGCCTAGAGGAACAAACATCGGCAAGCGTTTGAATTGTCAGTGCGGTCCAGACAGGTTTCTTCGATCGTCGCTTGACCCCTGCAGATCCGAGAAATCCGTGCGGACCGCCGACCCTTCTTCTTATTGCCATTATTCGTTTCCTCATTGTTAAGACTACTACACTCATAATTATCCCAGTGCGACCCTACCTAGGAGTTGGAACCCCTAGGAAAGCAGCATTAGTAGTAACAGTGAGGCTAAGCTAAAGCTAAGCTAAAACTAAGGTAAAGCTAATATAAAGCTAAGCTAAAGCTAAACGAAAGCTAAGCTAAAGCAGAGCTAAAGCGAAGCTAAAGCTAAGCTAAAGCTAAGGCAACTCTAAGCTAAAGCTAAGGCAAAGCTAAGCTAAAGCTAAGCTAACGCTAAGCTGAAGCTAAGCTAACGCTAAGCTAAATTTAAGCTCAAGCTAAGCTAAAGCTAAGCTAAAGCTAAGCTGCAGCTAAACTAAAACTAAGCTAAAGCTAAGCTAAAGCTAAGCTACAGCGAAGCTACAGCGAAGCTACAGCGAAGCTACAGCGAAGCTAAAGCTAAGCTAAAGCTAAGCTAAAGCTAAGCTACAGCTAAGCTAAAGCTAAAGCTAAACTTAAAGCTAAATCGAAAGCGAAAGCTAAAGCTAAGCTAAAGCTAAAGCTAAGCTAAAGCTAAAGCTAAAGCTGAAGCTAAAGCTAAAGCTCTCAGGGGACTGGGGGAACCGCTCCCAGGGGACTGGGGGAACCGCCCGGGGCGCTTTCCACTGCCTGGCCCCTTTAAGCTAGAGAGTAAGAATCCTTCTAGGCAGAGCCTAGGTAGGGAATACATGTTATGGTTACCAATATGTCTCCTATTGCTCTGATGGTCATTCTGGGTATGCTTCTAAGTCTTATTTGATATATTCATATCATGAATACGGTTATTCATCATAACATCGTTACCGTTGATACGAATCGCACTACTAGTATTATCAGTTGTCGTGCTCTTCTTCTGCTTCTTCTTCTTCGAGCAGTGCCTCGACGAGAGCCGTCAGCAACGAAGCCGCGATGAGCAGCCTCTGGGCGGACATGGCGTCGCACGCAGATCGGGGCGGCGACAAGCGGAGCAGCCGGCTGCAGACTCCACCACTGTGGCGGCGAGCAGGCGCGCTGAGTCCAAAATGGGCTACGTTGAGAATTCCTCTCACCATCTCCTCCTCCTCCTCCTCCTCCTCCTCCCCCCTCCCCCCTCCTCCTCCGCCTCCTCCTCCTCCTCCTCCTCCTCCCCTCCTCCTCGTCCTCCTCGTCCTCCTCCTCCTCCTCCTCCTGGTCCTCCTCCTCCTCCTCCTGGTCCTCCTCCTCCCTCCACCGCCCGCCCAATGTCCCAAGCCTATGGCAGGGTCATAATCTCGTCGTTGTCGTCGTGATCGTCCTTCTGGATCGGCGGCACCGGCCACAAAGCCTTCACAATAACTCCTCCCTGTCGCACCCCAGGACGTGCCGGTAGGGCGGGTACTTAAGCTTACAAGCTTGCAAGAGCTTCACGGATGGAGGGCGCCAAAATGTGGCTATCGCCTTAGCGTCGCGCACTTTCGTCTTGAAAGTGTGCACGAGCTTCACGGATGGAGGGCGGGTCGTTTTCAAAATGCGGCTCTCGCCTCGCAGACTCGTCTTCAAAGTTTGCTGGAGATTCACTAGATGGAGGGCGGCTCCGTCTAAAAATGCGGCTCTCGCTTTAGCGCCGCGCATGTTCGTCCTAAGAGTTCACACCGTTTTGAACGAGTATTATGATTTACGTCCCAGAAATGGTGTTTTGGCACGATGCAGGACTTCCAGGGCACAGCAATAACACTGATTCGCCGAGTTGACAGCCCAGGAAGGCGCAGATCAGGATCGTCAGGTCGCAACAGTAACGTTCATTCTCAGTGCTGAAATCCCAGGAACTGTGTTTTGGCACGGTTCAGGATATTCAATCAGTTGTCTTCCCAATGGGCATCTTCTTAGTGAAGACAAATCCTTTTAGGGACCAGCGAAGAGGCAATTTAAGGGAGGGCTCACTGCAACACTGTCAATGGCCCTTGGGTTAACACTGGTCCTCCTCCTCTTCCTATTATTCCCTCCCTCCTTCTCTGCCAAGAACACTACGAAATATGGCAAGCTTGGTATCCATAATTCGACAGGCACTTGTGCTGGAAACCGGGGCTCGGGGGGCCCAGCGGGCCCCCACTCGGGCCCCCAAGCCGCGGTTTCCAATTACTCCAACGGTAAGACCACGCATTCGAATCTTTTTAGTTTGCCTAGAGATCCGCCATCGTGCCTCTGGGCACGGAGTGGGCGTGTCCTCTGATCCTGTGTCCAATCCCTTGAGCCTCAGTCCTCAGTCCTGAGTAGTCTCTTCAGGACTCAGGCCCCGAATTCTCAAATCTCCCAGGGCTTGCCGCGGTGGGCTCCCCCGCATCTTCTCGCGTGACTTCTTCGGACCCAAGACGACCCCCAGACGGGCCAAGACGGCCCCAGCCGGCCTTCAAGACGGCCCCAATACCTCTTAAGATGGCCCCAAGACGGCCCAAGAGGTCTCCAAGATGGCTCCAGAAGCCTTCCAGAAGCCTCCCAAGAAGGCCCCAAGAGGGCAACATCATTAATGATCCTCAGACTTTTCCATGTTTTTGACGTTCTCGCGTGTTCGGCTTCCCGCCGCTTCAAGACGGCCCAAGGGGCCCCCAAGACCGCCTCCAGACGGCCCAAGAGGCGCCCAAGACGGCCCCAAGAGGGGCACAAAAATGGGAACACGAACCGACAAACCGAGCTTTCCGCCCCAAGAGGCCCCCAGGAGGCCCCCCAAAAGCCCCCAAGAGGCCCCGGGAGGCTCCCAAGAGGCCCCCAAGAGGCCCCCACGAAGCGCAACATAGGCCCCTCTTGGGCCGCAAGACGGCCTCCCAGGGGGCCCCAACAAGCCCCCACGAGGTTCCCCAACGGCCCCCAAACTGCTCTCAAGAGGCCCCCGAGAGCGCTCCGAAGAGACCCGGGCAAACATCCCTGAGAACTCGGACCCGCAACCCAGGAACGGTGGCGGGATGGGCCGAAGGCCCTTCGATGTCCTCCTGCCCTCGAGGCTTATCCGCTAGGGTAGTTTCAGCTTCCTGGAGCAGCTAGAGTCGCAGTTACGTTCAGGGGGGCTCGACCAGGGACCCCCTTTGGAGATGCGTTCTTCTTTTTTAGCATAGCAGACGTTACCAGCAATGCTGCACGGGAACTTGCAGAACTTGGCCTCACCTCCTCGTTTGCGATTCCCTCCTCCAACGTACTTGAAGAGGTGAACGAGACAAGGGTAGAGGCCGAATTTCCAGCCATGGTCTGCGCAGATGACTCATTGTATGCGTTGCTGGCGTCTTTGGAGACTGTCGAAGAGCACTTGGAGGAGTTTTGCAGGATTGTGCTCAACTCTTACTCTGGCGTCGAATTAGTGTTAGGTAAGAAAGAGTTGATGCTCCATTTGACTGGTCCTGGGTCCGCCAACTTTCGTGGACATGTCCTCCATACCCTGGGTCTGGTATTTCCTGTGAGGTCTCTCTACGTAGGACGTAGGTGAAGGTATCAACGTCATCAGGTCAGCTGAACATGCGGGTGCCATCGTTACCGATCGTGCATTGTTGGGACCTGAGTTTGTACAACGCGAAACAGAGTCAAGCGTCCAGCTGTCCGTTTTGAAATAGGCCTTCAAGAGGGCCAGCAAGGTTTCGATCATCCCGAAACCGATCTTCACCGATTTCCTGGTGATGAACTCAGCTTTATATGATGCTGGTACATGGTACAATATGTGTGGCAACGATCTTGTCCGCGTAAGGTCTCAATCTGTGCGAAGGTACAGGCGTGTTCTCCGTCTTCCTTGCTTTGAGGCCGGAGGCCCGACAGATGAAGACGTCATGGCGGCGGCGCTCAGGCCTAGTATCTCAGCTGTGCTTCGTGTGGCTCGACTGCGTTTATGGGCCAGGTCATCGATGCAGCCCCGGCCCCACTGCCAGGGCTTCTCCATGCTGAATATCAGCAGGCCGGCAAACGGGCAAAACACAACTCCTGGCTGCATCAGGTCCTCGAGGATTTGGCATGGCTGCGTTCGAGCCACCATGCGTTCCAGGAGATGCCACTTCCTTCATCAGATCCAGGAGCTTGGCTGTCCAAGGTAGAGACTTCCAGGGGAGCGCGGTTAAGTGCCATCCAGGAGGCTACTAAGGCAGAAATCGCTATGGCACGGCGAGAGCTTGACGCGTAATGTTGGGAGAGGAGGACACTGAAGCTGTTAACAAATGAAGGATTGCCTCCTCCTCGAGATGTGCCGCTGCAAGCGCAGCGCCAAACGTTTAAATGCCACTTCTGTGATTTTTGCTCTGAGAATCTCTCACCCCTTGATGCGCACATCCGAGCTAATCACACCACCCTGTCTGGCATTGCCAGCATTGCTAGGCGACATGTGTCAGACAGTTGTTGCCAAACATGCCTGAGACTTTTCCCGTCCAGGTCAATGCTTGTGCGGCACGTAACAACCTGGCGCCCAACTGGTATGATTTATTATCTCACTCAAGCGCCACCACATGCGACTGAAGTCATGTAGGAGCTAGCGGCCAAAGAAAAGCAGGAGAACAATCAGGCTTACAAGAAGGCTATTCTGCGTCACACGCCTCGGTTCCGTCAGGTATCGCCCCGGGGCCAATTCACCCTGCTGCTAGAACGTACCAGGCAGTGTACACCCGTGCGCAAGCCATGTAATAGGTGCAACATGTTTAAATGATGTTACGGGGTGGCCTACGGGGTGGCCTCGAAGGATTTTGGACCAGCTCTCTACTGAGCCTAGTGCCCCTGGCTCAGTGAACGGTGTGTACGTTGACTGGCCGTACGATAGAAACGAATCCACTGGTAGATTAGCTAGTACAATTCCACGCAGACAGCATCGCCAGACTGTTTTTATAACCAACCTTTTTTGCGGCCACCGCCGCACAGGAGACATCCAATGTGCAGTTGAGATGTCATTGGAGCTAGTCTTACCTAATGTGTAAATCCGTGTGCTACCAATCGATATGTTGATTGCTTCTGAGGTTGGTGACCTTAATAAGCAGTCAACAGTTGAAGTCTGGTCTGGCCATATCAAGGCTGGCCGAGTATCTCTGTTAGGAGGGGGGCCCCCGTGCGAAACATGATCGGCGTCTCGGTGGAAAGACGGGCCCCCCCTCCGCTTCGGTCATGGAGTGCCCCTCAGGGGCTGGCGGCTGTAACCCCCAGACAGCGTTTGCAGGTCCAGGTCGGCAATTCCTTGTATATGGCTGTTGTGGAGTTGCTTTGTGTGCTGGCAACTGTTGGTGGACCAAGATGGGTTGAGCACCCCGCTTCGCCAACGTGGGAACCCCGTGCAGCTCCGTCCTGGCCCTTCCGTACCACCAAAGCCCTAAGATCAGCCCCTTATTGCTCCCTGACAGATTTCGACCAGTGTGCGTTTTGGCCAGGACGGCAGAGCGCCGACAGCCATCTTGGCTGTCAGAGTGACATCTCTGGTCACTCTCCTCACCTCCACCCCACTGGCCATCGCTCGGACGTCCATTCCCTGTGTTTGTTTCGGTTTCGTGCGTGTTTTTTTCGCGAAATGATCAAGGATGTTCCTCGATGGCCCTCGCCGAAGGAAAAATGCACACGTCCGAGCGATGCCAAGCCCAGGGAATGGGAAATGTAGCCACGGGCGTGGAGCCCACCATATCTTGTTAGGCAAGCGAGCCAATGGTCCCTGCAGGACTGCCCACAAAAAAGTTTACCCGCCTGCGGTGTGTTCAGTTCTTGCGCTGGCAATGTTAAACGTTGTGCTCCCCTCGCTAGCTTTGTGTGAGGACGAGGATCATGAAGAACAGACAGAGCAGTTGCACAAGTGTTTTGTTTCCACGGCCTCCATAGTTGCAGAGGATCTTCCTCTGGGCCCAGGTTCTGCAGGCAGACGTTCTGCCCGCCAACAATCTACTATTGAGCGGATGAATGCTGTGCAGCCTTGTCCTAATCAGACCTCCGAGGTTCAGGCGGATGACCTAGACAATCATTGAATTGCGTTAGCCTTTGCATTATAACCCAATCCATTGTTACCTCCGTCGGTCTCTGTTTCTCCACCGTCGACCCCTGTTTCCCCACCGCTCCCTCCTGCCCCCCCCCACCCATGTCCAAGGCCGCGATAGCACGAATAGCGGCGAATCGGGCTGAGGCTTTGAGGCGTAGAAAAGGAGACAGCGGCCGATCAGCGCAGGCTGCCGATCCGATCTGTCAATTTGTTCGGGTCACCTCCCGAGCTTCCCGCACGTGTATCAAGAGATGAGGCGCAAACAGATGTGCATTGATGGTTTGCTGCTGCAGCCTCAGGTATCTCTTAGACTTTCCTGCGGGGATGGATGGGTGAGCTGAGGAAGCGGCGAGGGAGGGAAAGGGTCAGTCCGACCCGTGCGCGTCCGCGCCGGGATATCAACTACGGCACCTTCATCACAGGCGCGCCCTCGCGCCCCTGCCGCGTGCAGGATGAGCAGAGCAGGAGGTTTGGTGTTGTTTGATGGTGATACGATGATGCGATGACGATGATCACGTTGTTGGTGTTGTGTCGTGTGTATCCTCTGCTCGTTCTCTCCGAGCCTCTTGTGCTCGGCTCTCGTTTCGGCTTTGTGTGTCGAGGCTTAGAGACGGCTGCTTACAACACCATGCCCGATCCTCGGGCGACCTTGGTCTGCAGGCCAAAGCTACTGCTGCACACCCACCCCCGGAAGAACAGCCCCTGGCAGACTTTCGAGGACATACAAGTTCCGAGTTCCTCCTAGCCCTCCTGCCTCCTCATTATCCTCTTGCCTCGCCCTCTGGCCTCATCCTCCGGCCCCATCCTCCTGTCTCCTCCTTCCTGCCTCCGCCTCCTCCTCCTCGGCCTCCTCCTCCTCCTCCTCCTCCTCCTCGTCCTCCTCCTCATCCTCCTTTAGTCTTTCCTCTGAGAATCGGGGTAAGCTGTCAAAAGAATTAAGGTCTCATGTTGACTCTGCTGAGTGGTAGAGGATACGGGATGACACATCGATGAAACTATCGGTTATCCGTTAAGCAACTACACTCAAGTATAGGAAGTGAGGAGTCCGGCCAGGGACGGACGACGACACGGGCCGCCCACGCGCCCCCCGGCGCGCTTCTTTTCTCACTCGAGCAGTAGATACACAGCTGCGGTATACAGTGATACCAATGTCAAGGTATGGCAAGACAGGCAACAGGAGAGGCAAGTGCATGATGAGGCGGAGAGGAGCATATTTACTCCCCCCGCGGCGGGTTTCGTAGAGCCCAACCAGCCACAGCCCACCCGGCTTGTACATATTTACAGCCACCGGAGCAAACCCCAAAAGCATTTCACCGCTCAACGGTGGTTGCCAGGGGGCTGAGGGCCGGAGAAAACCCGACGAATCCCATGGTTCGAAGACGATGAACCTCCCGTCTGGCCAGCTGTCCAATAAGGCGAAGTTGACCTGCCTCCCTTACCACGGCCAGCATAGGGAGCTGACCTGTTGTACTTGTCCTTGTCCCTGTTCTTGGTGTACCCCTTGCCTTTCTCTCTCCTGAAGCAGCAGTCGTAGTCGTAGTCGCAGGGAAGCGCAAAGTGCCACGTCCGACGCTCGTTCTCCTCGCGGGACATCCAGTGAATGGCGTCACAGTGGATCCAGTATCCCTGCAGTTCGTCGTCCGTGTAGCGCGGGTAGTGGATCTCGGGGTTGTAGCCGCCAGCCGCGCGCCCGGCAGCCATGGCCCCGCCGCGCGCGCGCGGACATTGACCAATCCCATGTGTCCCTGTCAGGAGAACGCCACGAATACTCTTCTCCCGCCGTGACGGTTTGACCGCTGGCGGAGTGCGGAGACTCAGTTACGTCATCGTTGGCCCGATCGCCTTGGACGTCGGACCTTCTAGGCGGAGGAGGCGGATCAGGGCGAACAGCATGGCTTGGCCTTGCTTTCGCAACAGGAACCCCTTCCGAACCGGCTTGGCCGTCGGAGGGCTCGTCAGCGCCTCCTTCCTCACGAAGACGTAGCTCATGCTGCATTTTAGCATATCTCACAATACCCCTTGCGGTAGTAGCAACAAAGGCACCATATTTGCCACGGGCAGTACGAAATGGGCCTTCATCTTTATCTCGAAGCTCAGTTGCTTCCACGGATGCGTATAACCAGAAGACAGCATCTTTGCAGCTTCATGCCCTGGCGACGGATCTCTGCACGACCCTGTCTAACGATGTCACGGGCCCACGCCTCTATGAGGTCACCTGTCTCCACAGCCGCGCGGATGCGGCAATCAAGCGCGCATGCGTCCGTGAGACGCTTGTCATTGTCGCACCCGGCGTCTGTGTCGCGGGTGAAAAACCCATCCCGGGGCATGCAATATAAAACCCCTCAGCAATAAAACAACTAATGAGTTCACGGACGATCGCAATCACGCGTATGATACGGAGACCTAACTCAAGGTCTTTCACAGGAATCTTCCAATTCCACTCAATGGTCTGTCGCACATCGTCAGGGACATCATGTGTTATCTCTCCCGTTGGGCGTAACCTATCGGTCACGCTCGTGTCCGGACGATAGCATGTGTACTCCATGACATATTGTGCAGCCGCGTCAATGGCTTCTGCCTTCGTCATTGTGATGCTCAACGAGTCATCATCACGGCGAGAGTACACCAGTCCATTGGGCAGATCGAGATCGATCCTCCCGTCAAGCATCTGCTGGGTCTGGGACCCGCAGACGGCGGCGAAATCGAAGGTCAGCGGGTCCCTCGCCACCTGTCATCTCGGTTTGACCGGCGACAGGTTTCACCGCACTGAGAGGGTGATTAGAACACATTTTGTTGCGCCTGTTTACAGACTTTGACTCACGAGCAGGACGTGCCACGAAACGATCTGCCCAAGCAACCGGTGGGCGTCCACGAGGGCTTGGCCCTGTGGCGTCCACATCGGTGTCCTGAGCAACGGGCGGCCAAGGTGCGGCTCCCGTCTCGCAATGTCCGAAGAGTCGGCACAAAAGTATTTCGCCTGCATGCTGCGCTCACATTCAATCCAACCTTCACTAGGTTCAATGTATGAGTCAGGTGCTTCTGGCCAGTCGAAAGCAGCCAGAGCGGGACAAGACAAGGGGCCCGCATACTGATCAATCTCTGTGGCCCAAAGCAGGGGCCACCGCTCAGAGAGCGGCGGTGCCCTAATCCCTTGTCTCTCAGCCAAATGTGCAATCCATTTTATGAATCGCCTCGAGGGGTTCAAGGTACTGAAAGAAAGGACCGTGACGCGCCGGCGGCTGGGCCGCGGCGCGGTCAGGAATCCAAGCAGGAACGCTACCCAGGCGGCTGTTTCCAAAGGGTTGACCTGAAGCAGCCATGAGGATGTACCCATTCTCTGTTGCCCATTTGCGCTCCAGCTTCAAATTGTTGTTGATGTTTGTCATGACATCCGCCGACGCTCTCCGCTGTCGCAGCATTCTTTTTCTAGCATAGCGATCATGCGTCCAAGACAATGTTTCTTGATTGAGAACGGCCAACCCAATGCCATTGTTCCACAGTGAGTCTCGAATGGTCTTGTGCTTAAGTGACTGAAGCAAATAATCGCGTGCAACCATGTACTTATACTTCACTGGGTTATCGCACGAGGGGCAACGACCAAAGCCAGTTCGCACCCAGTGCAATCCAGCACAGAGGAACCGACCGTCGTCATCCCAGGGAACAGACTGAATGAATGCGTCTGCCCTTTCAGGCCAAATATGCCTAAAATTTGGGTGCAATGTCAAAGTCTCGTCAGTGCGAATCCAACCAAGCATGGAATTGTATCAACATTTACCTCATACGAGGTCCACTCTTGGTTAAAGACCATTGACCATGACATCCTCTTTACGTCCGCATCCCACCAGTCGTCAACTTTGGCAAGAGTGACAGCTTTGTCGATGTCAGTGAACCTTGGCACCTCACGGGACACGAGAGTCCCGTCTTGGCAGACCCGGTATGAAAATCGGGTGAGCACACGGCCATTGAAAACAAGAGCTAATGGCCAGGAGTCTCTGTGCGTTGGAAGCTGGTCCCACAGACGGACTGTGTCCACGGGGGGCCATGCCCCAATCGTCGGAGGCTCTCCCGGCTTTGGGTCTTTGCCCATGGCTCGGTGCTCCTTCACGGGAGCAGGCTCTCCATCCCTACGCTGGCTTAGCCAGGAGGGAAAATGGTCTGGGCTTTGCATGTTCGGATCCTTCTTGGTCGGAAGAAGCCTCAACAATCCGTAGTCCGCCTCGAGACAAAGCCCTGATGTGCTCTTTGGGAACTGAATCTCTCCGACCATGGATTCCATCAACGTCGCCATGTCAGTGATATGGACAAGGGGGCCATGACACCTGGCAAGGCCAGGGTCGTAAGGCGCGCACATCCTCTCAATTGAGGCAACAAGCGTGGAATGTCCCTGGCACGCTCGATAGAAAACAGGAACGGGGCACTTAGCCCGCTCTTCCCCTTGAAGGGGCCAAACTTTAAAGTCGTGCCACAATTTGTGAACACTCGTCTCTCTGATGCTGGCAGCGTCTTCAGGGGGCACACCTAGGACTTCCACGGTCCCAGGCTGCAACGCGGCTAGGCCGTGTGCAGCAAGAGCGCATGTTTGGTTTTTAAGCCCATCCTCATCCATCTTCTCCACCGGGTCTCCAAAGTAGACCCAGCCCCCCGAAGACCTCGCATAATCAGAACAGTGCCTCGCGAGATATGTAGCAAAATCTCAAATGCGCTTAGCAGGCCCATCTACTCGACAACTGTGGCGTCGCCAAAAATCCGTGGAGCCTAGGGCCGCCGGATTCTCGCGATCAGCGACTCCCACCACCAACGGAATGGGCCTTAAAAGACTGAGGATCAAATCCGCCGGGGACATCATCAGAGTGAAACTCTGCACGGAGAAAGTCTCGCACCAGCTCAGAACTACCTATGTCTACGGAAAGCTCACCTAACACTGCAAATATGGGATCCTCAACGAGCTCCGCAATTTGTTTGAGCGTGCCAAACGTTTTATTGCGAAGGGCCTCTACACCAAGGGGTACAGGACCAGTAGCGTGGGCCTCTCGAACTCTCCGTTTCAGATGGATGGGCGCAATGTTAATGAATCGAGTGCGGTCTTCCAGCGAAAGATAAAGCTCTTTGCCCCTCAAGTGGTCAGCGTGGCCGACGTTAACCTCACGATCGCCCTCGCGTAGCGAACCCTCCGTCGGGCTAGGCCGCCGCATATCAGGGGGGGGCGGCAGTTCCGCTCTGCAGAAGAAGTTGGCAGAGGCAGGGCCAGACCGATAGTGCTCCTCCTCAAGGTGGATAAGGTCGGGGCCCCCTTGATACGGGAACTCATTGAGGTGAGCGAGATCTGGACTGTCCTCAAGGGACCCCGGTGTATCTGGGACACCCGGGGTTCTGCCCGCAGAGGAAGGCTCCGCCGCGCCATGTCCGCCCGAAGCGACGACCGGCGGGGTTGCCTTTGTAGCGGGCGCAGCCGCCTCATCAGAAGAGCTCTGGACATCTTTGGTAGGGGATGACTCGGCAGCCTCATGAGGTGCAGCGTGCGTTGCATCAACAGCGCCCGAATCGACCATCATCTGGTCCCCCTGCGTCGGCGTGGTCTCCGCTCTGGCTGGGCCAGGCGGACGGTGGCGCAGGGGGAGTAGGCACCCTGTTTCCACCTGCAATTAATTCGCCTTCAGTGCGGGGCTGTGAACGCTTGCTCTTGGCGGCGATCACAGGAGTAGGAACGAAATCTGGTTTCTGCTCTGGATATGGTCTACAACAGCGGCTGCAAACCGCTTCCACGAGTCCGAGTACTTTCCCGGCTCGTGTCTCCCCTTTCTCTCAGCAAGCTCGTATATTATTCTCTTTGCTGCGTCAATGTGCACATCCATTTCTTGCAAATTATCAGGATCGTCGACAACCGTCGGCTGATCAGCAATTGCGCGGCGCCATTGGTGATTGGCCAGGCTACACAGGGCGCGGGCGCCCAAGCCTAAGGGCTAGAGCCAGTTAAATCCGCCTCCTCCGCTTTGCAGAGGAAATTTCTCTAACAATGTGCTCCACACCTGTGCACAGGCGCTCGGCAGCAGACAACTCTGCCTCCGTCACGGTGGAGCCCACATCAAACACGTAGGCTTCTGAGCACACGAGCGTCCATGGGCCATTCTCTGGAGCAACTTCAATCCAGTGGCCTCCTGCAGCACCCTCACTACTCACACCGCCATCCCAGCATCCTCTGATGTATTTGATGTTTGTCTTGTTCTGTCTGATATAATCATGCTTGTAAATTATGTAACAGTTTCCTTCTCTCGCATGGTGTGTGAGCTCATCAGCGTAGGCATTGGCTTCTCTATAGATGTGTTTCCAGAAATCCTTTCCGTGGGTAGGGCATCGTGCGTTGTGCTGTTCACGCATGTCATACATAATATTTTGAATCCTGGCAATCCGTTTGGCATACCCGCTGTTGTCACACGCCCAGACTCCCCTCAGCCATTGTGCAGCCGTCCTACTGTCGCCACACATTTCAACAGCAATCCCCTCCATCCCAGGGTCCCATATCGTAGTTTATTCGTGTATAATTGCAAGACGTCGGGCCAACTCATCATTAGTCGGTGTCTTCG